TTTTTCCTTTTTTTGTCCACAATTTTTTTTTTTTTTTTTTTTTTTTTTAATTTGGACCATTTCTCGATTTTTGCGTGTCATCCTTGCGCAGGGGCCATGCTAATCTTCTCTGTATCGTTCCAATTTTAAAGGATGTCCCGAAGGACCTTAACACAATTTTAAAGTAATGCACTGAAAAGTTCACTGAACTGTCGCCGAAAACCATCAGTAGACATAAGACTTTTATTATTATTATTATTCTCTCTCCTTCTCCTCTCCCCCTGGTATTGCTACTACGGCTGCAGTCTCTCTACTCCCCTTCTTCCTTTTCTCTCCTTCCCTCTCTCTTTCCCTCTTCGTCGATCGTTTGACCAGATTACACGTGGCACGTTGATGACAGACGATGAGATCCCGTTCAACGAGTTCCACTTCGCCGTCTGATTACGTCGTCGTCCTCCTCCTCCTCCCTCTTCCTCATCCTCCTCCTCCTCCTCCTCATCATCATCATCATCATTACGGTGATTGATTGCCATTATGGTGTGTCATCAACGTGCCACTTGTCATCTCGATCATTGTCCCCCAGATTCCACGTGGCACGTTGATGACAGACGATGAGATCCCGTTCAACAAGTTCCACTTCCGCCGTCTGATTACGTCGTCATCCTCCTCCTCCTCCTCCCTCCTCCTCCTTTTTCCTCCTCCTCCTCCTCCTCATCATCATCATCATCATTACGGTGATTGATTGCCATTATGGTGTGTCATCAACGTGCCACTTGTCATCTCGATCACCGTCCCACCGCCATCACTCATCATTTACAGTTTCAATAGTTAACAGGATTGATTCTGTGGGAATAAATATTATTTAATTATTAGCACCGATTAATATCTCTAAGCACGGCAATAATTACCATGAGCTGTTCTTCATCATCTACTGTGGCAAGTCAGAAACGCAGGGCCACGTGATCTTCATCATCTACGGTGGTGATGGCCTCCTCGTTTTCCTTTTTTTCCTTTTCCTTTTCTTTTTATCTACGCTTGTAATAAAAAAATGTTGGAAGGGGGGGAGGGAAAAAAAAGGACTTCCAAAAAAAAAAAAAGAAAAAAAAAAAGAAAAGAAAAAAAAGGACTTTCTTTGATGGCCGCCGCGTCGTGCTCAGTGTGCTTAATGGCTGCCTCCTTTTCCTTTTTTTTTTTTTTTCTTTTTTCTTTTTTCTTTTTTGGAACTGATCAGAAGAGGTACTACACTTGATCTTGGCGAAAAGGCCGAGAGAAGTATACCTCCTCCTCCTCCTCGTCTTATTTTTTGGTTCTCTACCTCAGAATATGATGAACGTGTGATGTGTCATCTCCACCGCTTCAGGACTCGTTGTTTCTCTCCTTCTCGGCTTTTTTTTTGGGGTGGGGGTCTTCTCGTCATTTTCGGTGAAACAGGGGTTTTCGGAAAAAAGGCATTTTTCACATTTTTGCGCACAAAAAAAGGCATAGAAACGGGATAGGATAGACACGAGTTTGTGGGCAGTCGAGTGACCCGAACCGTGCACTACTCGTGACTGATCCCACGGTCAGTATTTTACTATTTTACATATATTTTTTATTACCCGAAAATGCAAGGAGATCTTTGTTCCCCTCCTCCTCTCCTTAACACTGGGCATGCCCGTGCAAAGAAAGCTTCCCGCCAGAATTTTTTTCCCGCCAGAATCGTTTCCCGCCAGAATCTTTTCAACTCCCGGTTGGGGGTGTGGCCAACCCCAAAAGAGGGTGGGGTTGGCCTTAGGGCCCCTGGATAAAAGATTTTCAGTATTTTACTTGCTGTTGTGCAATTATCTCATTGGGTGGAGCCCTCCTTCAATCACGGACCCCTATATATATGTGGGTGAGTGATAGTCTACTTTGATTTTGGTTAAGGTAGATGATCATTTACAGTGTAATCAGTGAGGGGATTCTGCAGACTGTTGAGGGTTCAGCCTCCTGATGAGTCGGTGAAACTCCGACGAAACAGTTTGTCACAGCCCCTCGTTTGTTGTCCTCTTCTCTCTCTCTGCCTACGGTTTACCGGGAAGTTCTGTGTGACGATATATATATATACTAGGCTACCAGAGTGGCCCGGGGTCACTTGCCCGGCCAGGCCAAAAAAAAAAAAAAAAAAAAACATTATTTTAAATTTTATTTTTATTCTAAAATTGGTGAAGAATTTYGATGTGACCCTGAGGCAAAAGTTGTTCAGTTTATTTTTCTGCATAACATGGTTTTTTTTTTCGGATTTTTTTGATTTTTTGATTTTTTTGTTTTTGGCTGGGACCTTCCCTGGTCCTTGCACGGGCTGGCCACCCGGGACCCGGGCGGCCCGGCTGGTAGGCGTCATGATTAGTGCTGACAGAAGTCAAGTTTATTCCAGAAAATGTGGCAGTTACTTTTGTTCACTGTTGTTGGGACCACCACCATCAGATCATTATTTGTGATCTGATGGCTGGGAAGCACTCTGCCGTGATTTCAGGTGGGGGAGGTCTCTGTTTCTTCTTTGTTTTTTTTGGCCTTTCTCCTGTTTTCTCAGCCCAGAAAATAGGAATAAACCTGTCTGGCCGCTGCCAGTCAGTGTCACACTGGATAGGCCACACTCCTATCCGACTGCTAATGGGACCTCCCCCCAGGAGCATGGTCCCATTAGCAAAGAGGATTGGATTAAGCTCCTGAATGTGGACGTGTTTTAAGCAGAGATGCAGAAAAGCTGTTCAATCTCTAATTTCTGCACCTTTCCAGGAACACGTCCAGATTCAGGCGTTCAATCCAATCCATGTTGCTAGCTGGACCTCGCCCCAGGGGTTTTCGTAAAACGGACATTTTTCACATTTTTGCGCAAAAAAAAAGGCATATATAATAATTATTAATTAACCTCTTTTTTTGTGGGGGGAATAATCACGGCTCTCGATTTCTTCAGGTGGTCCCCTCCTCCCCCCCCCCCCCCTCCCATTAATTGAGGACGAAATTTTAATTTAAAGAAAAGAGTCAAAAGACAATAAACAGGCCTTTAGTTCCCATTCAGAAGATGTTCTTTTGTTTTTTTTTTCAATTATATAATTGAAAAGACTGGTTTTTTTTTTTTTTTAAATGCAAGGAAGAAAATAGTCTCAAATTTTGCACTTAAAAAAAAAAAAAAAAGTCTTTGTTGAAAATGATTTTTTGATTTTTTTTTTAATTGGGGTCTGTAATTGTGGGCAGGTACATCCAGGAAAGTGCAAGTGGGAGGGCAGTGGCACTGGGAGGGGCAATGAGGGGACAAGGGAAGTCTCCTTATGCGGTGGAGAAGGGAGGCGGAGGTGGTTCCTCAGGCGCAGTGTTGGACACGAGGAAGAACTATTTCGACACGGAGTCACACAACAAGAAAGCAACTCTGTCGTCGCACAGCAGCTTCTCCAGTAGGCATGGGGATTCCTTCCGCCGGCAAGATAGTTTTCGACAATGCGGTGGCCCGACTGGGGGTTCGTTGAGGACAGTTCCTGGGCATCCGACCGTGCCGCCGATTTCTCCGCGCGGGACGCCAGCCCCGCCGTCAGCGACTCTTTCGTCTGTTCTGCCCCCTTCTCCGGACCAGCTGTGCGGGAGAAGCACCCACTCGCTCCCACTCTGGCGCACAACGACGGGAGCGCCGGATGGTGCGTCGTGGGAACAGGGATGGGAGACGGGCAATGGCGGCGGGGGTGGTAATTTGAATTTCTCCTTCCGCGGCAGCTGGGGAGGGATCAATATGAACGTGATGGGAGGCACGTCGCCTGGCGTGCCGCTTCCAGAGCGGCCTCAGGAGGGCGACAGGGAACGGGATCGGGGGATGGGTCATCGCCGGGGATGGCCCGCGGGCCCCTCCATGCATTCGAATGGCGGAAGCAGCGCGGCGAGGAGAGGACAGCTGAAGACAACAAGCAGCAGGTCGCTGAATCCGGATGCCGCTGCGGAGTTTCACAGCGCAGCAGCAGCATGCGATGTCGGGGGCCGCGGAGGAGGAGGTGCTGGCACTGGCATTGCACAGGGACCTTTCTCGCAGGCATGGACAGCAGGGCTGATGTCCGGGATGCCACTCGGCGACGAGGTTCGTCCGACAACAGCCAACGGGGGCCTGCCGAGTGCCGGCTTGTTGTCTGGGCGTGGGCCGTCTCCCTGCCAGACGTGCTCGCTAGGTCATCGCAACCAGTTTGGCCCATTGCCATTGGTTGAGATGGGTGCGCCGGACCTCCTTGCAGACGAGTTTCCTCCGGAAGCCACTAGAGGAGCATGTGTGGCTAGGAGCTATACGATGCCCGTGGGGAGGTCGGGGTTTGAACTGGGTGGGGGAGCGGCGGAGCCGAGATCTGTCTTGCTCGGTACCGTCTCCGATTCTAATAATAATGTGCCGAGCACCGCCGGCCCGCTGTTGGGGGGCAGTGGCCGTCAGACTGCAACCCTGCACCGTCATTGCAGTTTCAACGAGGACCGAGGACGAACTCCTCAGCCAGAGAACAGCATGATGGAAGACAACCAGGGACATGGGACACCGGGGTTCGGCAACGGTTTCCCCCTCGACAGAAGGGGATCATTCCGGCGAGCTCTGAGTTTCAACGAGCAATCCGTGGAGGGACCGGGGAGCCCAGTTTCCAGCAGAACAGTGCGGCAGTTGTCGCCGCCCTTTGTTTCGCTGCCAAGCTTTCAGAGAAGCGACGGACCCATCCGGAATAACTATGACGAGGAATCGCAACCGTCTGACAACGACCTAGAGTCGTTGGTGCACAGCTGTGGTGACGACGCTGATGTCCATTCGGAAACGGGAGGCGTCTTTGGAAGGGAGTGGAGGGATGGGGGCAACTTGGGAGGGGGAGGGGGAGGGGGAGGGGGAGGGGGAGGAGGGTGCAGCAACCCTCGGCGGCAAAGGAGGTTTTCGGGAAGGACGTCGGCAAATGCAGGAGGGAAAGGGATGGACGACAGAGATCAACAGGACTGGGATCACCTGGATGCGAGGCTGTCATCGACCCGGACAAGGAGCGACGACTTAGGTAACCCGGCAGAGACTGCTGATAATGGCTCTGCAAGGGGGGCAGCAGCTCCTGCAGGCGCCGCTGCAGAAACGATGAGGGCTCCTCAATTGACAAGGCAGTCTACTGTCGGTCGTTCTAAGAGGGATACAAGCTGGTGCCTGGGCATTCAGTCCGACACAGCACACACATTCTTCCTCTGGAAGCTCATTGGCTGGATCCTGGTACAATTTTCTAACCTACTCCTCCCTTCACTCCAGTAACCATGTGTTTGTGTGTGGGTGTGTATCTCTCTGTGGCTGTGGCTGTGAGTGTATCTCTGTGTGTGTGTGTGTGTGTGTGTGTGTGTGTGTGTGTGTGTG